AGAAGAAACAAGCTCATTTTAGTAACCTAGTGGCGGCACTACCACCCCAGTGGAGAGAAGCGAGTTCTTTGTTCGAAGCTCCTTTGCAGTGGGGAGATAGATCCCTGCATGGGCCCTCTTTGCCTTCAGGATTTCCACTGAATTTGTTCTCCAAAGCCCAACCCTTTCTGCCAAGGCTGAGCATTTCACGTGAGTAGACGGGAGTGAGGGTCTGATGCCAAGCCTCCCTTACCACTTTGGGCATTTTGTGGCGTTTACCTGGCTGGCTGATAATGCCATCTTTGGTCACTAGGGAATTATTTTTATCTAAAACCCTTATTAATTGTTCTAGGAGTGCAAAGTACACTTGAAAGCTGCATTGCAGACAGAATTCCTTAAATCAGACTCCCTCCCCGACACATTCTGGTGTTTCTTGTACTTGTCGTTAAAGTCGTCACTGGGGGAACAGTGGGGCTTGGTGGTTAGGAGTGTAGCTGTGGAGCCAGACTGCTTAGATCCAGATTGAGGCTCCTCTACTCACTAGCTGTGTGATACCGGGCAAGTTTCCTAACCTCAGTGACCGCATCTGACAAGTGGGATAATAATAGTACTTCTTTCTTGGGTAGCTGAGAGGGGTAAATGAGTTGATTCACGTACTTAGCCTGGAGCTCAGTGCCTGGCACATAATAAACCTGACTGAGGTGAGCTCACATGGTAATGGCAGTGATTAACATGCTTGTGATTGTGATAATGTTAGTGAGGATCATGATTAGGAGCACACGGAGCCCTGTCACTTACAGGCTACATTAGTGTGGCCTTGAAAAACCAGCTCAGTCACTCATTTCTTCCTTGGTTTGTGCCAGTGGCATAGTACTGTCCATCTAAAATTTTTTTTTAATGGTTATTATTTTTGAGAGAGAGAGAGCATGAGTGGAGGAAGGGCAGAGAGAGAGGGAGACATTGAAAGCAGGCTCCAGGCTTTGAGCTGTCAGCACAGAGCCTGATGTGGGCTCGAATCCACGAATTGTGACATCATGAACTGAGCTGAAGTTGGACGCCTAACTGACTGAGACACCCACGTGCCCCATAGGGCTGTCCATCTAAAGCAAGAGTCAGCAAACTACGACCTGAGGCAAAATCTGGCCTGCAGCCTTCAATTGTGAATAAAGTTTTATTGGAATACAGTTGTACCCATTTGTTTACATACGGTCTATAGCTGTTCTCTTGCCAAAATATTTACCATCTGGCCTTTTACAAGACAAATTTATGGCCCCTGATCTCCAAGAGTGGTTGTGAGGATGCGGAAGATAAAGCCTACGTGTCGAGCCTGGTACGTAGTAAGTAGACTGTCCAGTTCAGTAGAGTGTTAACATTCCTGAACTTGGTGCCTGGTTCTCGGCCTCCCCACTGCCGCTCTTCTTCCACCCTAAAGGAAAAATAGAGGCAGTAATTACGATATGAATAATTTAATTAGAGATACCATCAAATGATATTAGGCATGTATATTTTTATCATGCCCCGTGCATTTCCATATGGACCAAACATTTCACATTCCGAGTAGTCTGCAGCGATGGATATAAAAGGCTGTGTCCTGTGGACTGCACTTCACAGGAGGCTTTCAGCCTTTTCCAGGGTAATTTTGACGCTGATTTTCCCTTGCCTGCCAGCTTCAGAAGATGACATCCAAGCATGATGCACCTCCCTCCTAAATGGCAGCGATGAATATTATTATCTGCATCTAGAGCAAAGTAAAACCAAAGTGTCAGAATCCTCGAACCATTGAAAATAAATCCGAAGTGTGGATAAAATCTCTCTGAAGTCCTAAGTGGGAGCATAGTATTATATACGTCCACATCTTTTTTTTTTTTCTTCTTCTTTTCCCCAGGCGCACATCTGTTTCATAACATGAGGTACACATGTATCATTTACATTTGGCCTTGTTTATCATTTCACGGCTGAAGCTGACAGGTAACCTTGCTGGAGAACACCCCCTTAATTTTGCGAATAGCATCTATTGATATTAATGTCACCTTCTCCCACCTCCCTCCCTGACTGTCATAAGAATGAAACGAGATATAAGTAGGAAGATACCCAGAGAAGCTAAGTGCAGTAGACAGGGGCAGTGTAATCTCATTTCCTCTGTCCTTGGTAAGAAGGAGCAGTCTCCACACTGAGCTACCGGGAGGGGAGAGGGGCTCCGTGGTGTGAGGCCAGGGGCCTGAGGGAACAAGTGTGTGTAATCACAGTGAATTATCTTCAATGTAAAATAAGCAAATTATTTCCCAATTTAATGAATAAGAATCTCCTTTTTAAGCTTATGTATTTATTTTGAGAGAGAGTGCACAAGAGTGATTGGGGGAGGGGCAGAGAGACAGGGAGAGGATCCCAAGCAGGCTCCACGCTCACCGCAGAGCCTAATACGCGGCTCGATCCACGACCATGAGATCATGACCTGAGCCGGAGTCGAGAGTCGGTTGCTTAACCAACTGAACTACCCAGGAACTCCATGAATAGGAAGCTTCTAGTGAACTCCAGCAGAGAGTTGCTTTCCTTTCAAATTTTAGTAGTCAAGCTCTGTGTTTTGTTTTTGTGGCCCACTGTAAGGCTTTTCTTACTGTTCTCTGTTGGTGTAACAGAATTTTAGAGATAAAAAGCAAACCCAGAGATGATTTAGCCTAACTCTCATTTAAAATTGAAAATAAAATGGGGCGCCCCAGTGGCTCAGTCAGTTAAGTGTCTGACTTTGACTCAGGTCATGATCTCACGGTTCTCAGGTTCGAGCCCCATGTTGGGCTCTGTGCTGACAGCCAGCTCAGAGCCTGGAGCCTGTTTTGGATTCTGTGTCTCCCTCTCTCTCTGACCCTTCCCTGCTAGAGCTCTGTCTCTCTCAAAAATAAACATTAAAAATTTTGTTTAATTAAACAAACAAACAAACAAAAAAAACCAGGAAGAAACTATGGCCCAGAGCGATCCTGTGGGAACCTGTGACTTATCCAAGATCCTGTAAACTGCTCGCTGTCCACTTCACCCGGTCCCTCGGCATGTGCCTGACCGGCATTGACGGGACTGTAGCCAGACTCTGGGGACTGCCTTATTTTCCCCTGGGCTGGCTCTGCTTCCCTTCTCCCTGGCTCCACTCTGGGCCCTTCTGGCTCCCACTGGCTCCTATTTACTGGCCTCCGTACTGCTTCTATACAACACCCTGGTCCGAGCCCTGGCCTCCAACCCTCTCTGTCCCTTTCGAGCTGCAGGCCAGTCTCCGGGCTGCCAGTTCTGCCCCGTGTGCCCTACCACCTGACACACCATCCCCTCTCGTCATCCCCTTCAGGCTTACAGTGAGCCCCTTGACTGACATCTGGGCAGGTGTGTTAAGGGTTTCCATGTGCCATCCATCCTCATTCCTGCCCCAGAGCATCAGGGGTCAGGAGGTTGGGATAACAGTGGCCCAACAACCCAGATCACCTGATCCCTGATTCTGGGCCTTTTTTCTTTTTTTAATCAATAAGTTGGGTTTTTTTTAGAGCAATTTTAGATTCATAGCAAGATTGAGTAGAGAGTACGGAGAGGTCTCATATCCCCCTGTCTGCGCACACATGCACTCATATCCCTCCCTCCACTGTCGGCATCCAGCACATCAGTGCTAAGGTACGCAGTCAATTTCAGATCTGTTCTTTCTGCCTTGGCCTTGTGTGTTAGCGTGTCCCCCAAGGCAGATGGCTGCTGACACGTTGAAATAGCCCTGCTCGGGCCCTCTGCCTTCTCTGTCTTTGCAAACTGATTTCAAATCCCTGGAGCTGGGATTCTGATGGGCTGTGGTCGGGTCAGGGGCCCAGCCCCAGTGCACCACACTGGGGTTGGGGTCCTGTACCGTCAGCCGGGGAGCTCCCCGCTGAGGACAGGGAGGAGAGAGAGAGAGAAGGAAGCAGGTTGAGTGTCCCTGTGAGCTGAGCACACGACCCAAATATACCATGATACCGTGTGATCCAGAGTGTCTCTCCACCCTCCAGATGCCTCTTTTCTAGATCCTCTTATAATATTGGCCCCAAAGTGTGGCCATTGCCAGAGGTTCATCTGTGGACCTTGGCTTTCCCTCTTATTCTCACTTTCTTGGAAAGAATCCCTTGACTTGCACTTTATCATCAGCTACGAGGCCCCCCACCTGTGTAGACCTACCAGACGCGGCCCCAACCTGAGACGAACATCTTTCCTCTGAGACTCGGTCCCCACTTCTTGCCTCTCAATAAGTCATCACTAAGCCTTCTCGTTCCTGCTTTGCAAGAAGCTAATGGGACACATGGTTGTGATTTCCTCACCAAGAGCCACCCGAGAGTGAAGCTAGATAATTTGGAAGACACATTGCCAAAGCCCAGAGGTTCCCATTTTGTAGTTTAAAACCAAGGCAATCCATTAATTTTCCATCAAGGAATTGCAAAAACTGCGTTTGGAGCAGCATATATTTAAACGTGATGATGTCGAGCTATTGAATGTATGTGTACCTTCAAGTGTTAGCCTTCCAGTTTTCTAAGAAAAGCAACGTTCTCTCTGAAATTACCTGCTATATGGGAAATGTGGGTGATTACTGCTAATTCACATCTGAACCATCACCTAGATGTTGAGTTTGGGGGTTTGGTGAAGCACATTGGTGCGTGCTCATCAAAGGTTATGTGTATGCGCTCAGTGGAAAGCATTTTCTATAATTCCAAACAATTTAATAAAAATGTAATTCGACTGGGAAATCTACAGTCGGCCCTTGCAGAGTGCAGATAATGTTCCAGATTAAAGAGCTGAGGCTTTGTTCATTACAGTGAAATAACGTGAGCATGTGAATTACCATTTCCTTGCTGTTGGTCTATTTCAAGAGCATGCCATTTTCCCACTATAATAATAGGCTACATTTTCTTAAAATCATTTGATTATGATTGGTCCCGTCTATTCAGTTTGCAAATAAAAAGCTTTTGTGGTGATAAACTAGCTGTTTTAAAAGAGCCCTAATCTCTGGTTCTGCTTTTGAACTGCCACAGGTCAGACTCTGCGAAAGGCTGACAGAAGCCGGTCCTGCTCGCGGGAGAAAAAGGAGGTAAATGTGTGTGTGTGGGGGGGTGACTCTGTGTGAAGGCACCTGAGGGAAGTTTTCCTGGATCTCCTTCTTGTTTCCCTCTGCGGCTCCTACTTGAATCCCGGACCAGATGCCCGCTGGCAGTTAGAGTGCTCGGCTGAAGTGGCACTTGTCGTGACAATTTCTTAGGAAGTGTGTCAGTTAGCTTTGTCTGTGTAACAAAGCAAACCCACATTTCAGGGATGTGAAACAACTGTGCATTTCGTTAGTGATTTTGGGGGTCAGCAGTGGGAGCTGGGCAGGTCTGCTGATCTCCGCTGGACTCACGTGGGCTTTGGCAGTGAGCCGCTGTGTTGCCTCAGGGTGACTGAGGATCAGGAGCGTGCTTCAGCTCTCTCTGAATGCTTTCTCATCCACCAGCAAGGCCAGCTTTATTCACGTGGAGGTTCCTGGGCATGAAGCATATGAAGAGTCAAAGCTGCAGGGCCTCCTGAGCCCTGGGCTCAGAATCAGCATGGTGTCTCTTCTGCTACTTTGTTTTCTTAAAACAAGTCACAAGGCCAGCCCAGATTCAAGGGGTGGGGGGAAACAGGTCTCCCCTCTGGATGAGACATCTACAAATCCTGTGGCCGTTCCTGAAACCTGCCACACTGAGCCCCCCTGCTCTGTGCCCGGCCCCAGGGATGAGAGAGACACAGCCCTGATCTCGGGGTGTGCACAGTACAAATAGAATGGATGTGCAGCAGGGTCATCAGAATGCAGTATGAGAAGGACAAAGAAAGTGGAATTTCAGCACAGAAAAAAGGGTTGCCTCACTGTCAGTGGTAACAAGAAAGGTGCGCAGAAAAGCTGATGTGCGGGCTGCCTCTTGAAGACTGAGCAGCAGTTTTTCAAGCCCAGTAAACAGCGTGGTCAAAGTCAAAATCAGAGAGACACCAGTAGGGAAAGTTGCAAGATTTGCTGAGCCCGAGAGTGTGCAGTGGTAGCAAGGACCCGTAGGTCACTGCAGGGCCCTTCAAGCTCATGGGAGTTTGAGTTTGAGTCTTCTTTAGCCATGGATGAGTGTAGAGGTGTGTGGGTATGAAGGCATGTGCTTCGTCATAAGTATCGACCAATCCTGAAATTCATCAGCACTTACACGTCAACCCTCTTGCTTGTAAAGTGACATAATTCCAATGATGAAGAGGAATTTCCCAGGCTGACTGGGCTCCGGAGGCTCAAAAATGGCCACAACACTTGGTCTTTCTCTTCCCGTGCCTGTGTCCTCTGTGTTGGCCTCTCCCCTTAACCAGCTCTGAGCAGGCAGGCTGGGGTTGGAGCACAAAGGGCCTTTGCAATGGCTGTCATCCCGTCCCCTCTAGTCTCCTTTCTCAGCTGTAGCCGGAACGGCCACTGTGGGTTTTCTTCTCAGTCAAGCAGCCTACGTGGGATGAGGGCTGGGAGGTAGCTTAGGGACTTCCTGCTACTTGAAAGATTTAAATGTCAGCCCCCAGGGACATTCTAGACACTGAGCCGGGGTGGATTCGGTCACTCCTTTCTGGTAAGAACATTTTTCTGGAAGCAGGAACACGCGTGCATGTCTCCCACAAAGTCCTTCCAAAGACTTGGGGGGCAGAGGCTCGCTGGCTCCTGGTCCCCACCTTGATGACATGACTAAGGGTGGGGACCAGCCCCCGCCCCTCCCAAGCCAGGTAGGAATTGTGTTAGCCTAACCGAGGCTTTTATCACAGAGTAACAGCATCCCATTTATCCGCATTAAGAAATTTGCAGGGAATTGACAAAGCAAGGCAGCAGGTACTTAGTTGAGATACTCTTTTCCTCCTCAGTCTTTCTCCTTGGCAACAGGGCATCCTAATTGCCATTTTCTTGGTTACTCCCATCCTGCCAGCCACCCTCGAGCATTTCAGATCACTCCGCTTAGCAAAGAGCTTGGGATGAGAAAAACAAAAAACAAACAAGAGAGTGGAGTTGTTTATCACAATATCTAAGATATTTAAAATGGTTTCAGGCCTTTCTGAAAAAGAGGGTGCTGATTCTCTTAACAAGGCTTTTGTTTGGTTAGAAAAACAGGAGAAGGAAACGAATAGCTGGCTGGCAGGTTGCTCATCTTGATATAACACGCTTTTTTCCACCCACCTCCTCTTTCTGGATCCCTCCCACGCCCCCTGTGGAATCTGCACTTCCTGACACTCTGTGCCTTACACAGGATGCCAGGTATAGATCAAACTCTGTCACCATGAAAGGCAAGGAAAAGACAAGCTCATTGGAACAAGCAGACGGGGGGTGGGGGGGGGCTCATCGTGTTCTTCCGGCGGTGAGGTGACACGGGCCAGCCCACACTGTGGCAGGTGAACGTGCTGCTTCCTCCCTGGGTTGGGACTGGGTGCTTCTTTCTCTGCGCTGTCATGGGCCAGCACGGCAAAGGGAGGAGGGGAGGCTGTTTTGCAATGAGCTTGCCAGCCGAATTCAGCCCAAAGATGTGTTTTATTTGGCCCAGACCCTGTTATAATTTTTAATTTATTTTAAAAAAATTTAATGTTTATTATTTTCAGAGAGAGAGAGAGAGAGAGAGAGAGAGAGAGAGAGAGAGAACAGGTGGGGGAGGGGCAGAGAGAGAGGGAGACAATCCGAAGCAGGCTCTAGGCTCCCAGCTGTCAGCACAGGGCCCAACTCAGGGCTCGAACCCAGGAACCGTGAGATCATGGCCTGAGCTGAAGTCGGACGCTTAATTGACTGAGCCACGTAGGCGCCACCCCCCCATTACGCCTTTTTAAAAATTGGGCATCCACATTTACAGTTTTCACAGAAAAATGTGCACTTCTGGCTTCTTTGCTAAAATGGAGAACAACAGCGGAGGCCTTACTCCCTTAAGGCCACCCCGGGCCATGGCTGGTGTTGAGGAGAGCTTGTCCTTTCCGTGAGGCCCTCCACCACCCTGCCCTGCCTGCCTGCATACACCTGCTCGGTAGCTACACAGTGGCAGGCCCCAGGCTCAGTGCTTGGTGTCAGTCAGTGGTCACAAGCACTGGGGCCCGTTAGAATCCCCAGGAGCTTTTATTTATTTATTTATTATTTTTTTAAAAATAGTTTATTGTCAAGTTGGTTTCCATATAACACCCAGTGCTCATCCCCACAAGTGCCCTCCTCCATGCCCATCTCCCCCCTCTCCCTCCCGCCCCCACCCCCATCAGCCCTCAGTTTGTTCTTGGCATTCAAGAGTCTCTCATGGTTTGCCTCCCTCCCTCTCCCCCACCATTTCCCCCCTTCTTCTCCCCCACGGTCCTCCGTTAAGTTCCTCCTAATCCTCCTATACGTGCAAACATATGATATTTGTCCTTCTCTGCCTGACTTATTTCGCTCAGCATAACACCCTCAAGGTCCATCCATGTTGCTACGCATGGCCAGATTTCATTCTTTCTCATTGCCATGGAGTATTCCATGGTATAGATAAACCACATCTTCTTGATCCATTCGTCCGTTGATGGACACTTAGGCTCTTTCCATGTTTTGGCTATTGTTGAGAGTGCTGCTATGA